TGAATAGGGGTGGGGGTGCACAATTCAGTCCAGAACAGAAGGGAAAAGCATAAGGTGAAGAAGAATATTCTGGAAAAAGCATTTTGGGCTCTAGGTTATTTTGCTGATGATGGAGGGCAGAATGGATGCACTGGTAATGCATGGAGGGGCTTGAGATTGGTTTCAAAATTAGGGAGAAATGCAGAGTTATATGGGAATCGGATTCCGAGTGGAAAGAATGTTCTAGAAGTGTTGGGTTTCTGGTGACTGAGGTGAATGAAGTTTTAGGGTATGGTGGGATTCTCCTGTTGGTCTTCCCAGGGGGAGGTAGAGAATTCCTGCGAATTATAGCCTCTTTTGGGGAATGATCTTTTAATCAAGTTGAAGCGATAAAGGCAGGAGTTCATTGGTATGGGGTTGGGTTGGGGGAAAGACTACCTACCAGGGCAGCCCTGGGGCTCTAGCCTTGCCGCTGGGACGGAGGGAGCGCTTCCCCTCCAGGGTGGTGGGCTGCCAGGGGAGGTCAGCCTTCCGTTGAGGATTGAAATGAAAGTCGAGATCAGTTTTGGCCAAAGCAATGGAGTTCTCTACTTGGTAAAATATGTCTGATTATTGCTGTTAGCATTAAAATTTTTGCAACAACAAAAGCAGTGATGAACATGAAGATTATCATTAGATAATATTTAGTATTAGATGCAGCATTTGCAAAGGAATATGCATAGAGCCATTAGTTTCTGAGGAGACAAAATGAAAACACCTAGTTTTAAGGGGTAAATCACTTGAAAAGCTTATTTGCTTTGTTTTCTTTTCGAGGCTCGTTTCAGAACCCTATGCATGGAGAAACTGCTGATTAAGCAGGAACAATTCTTTATCATTTTACTGGGGAAAAAAAACAACCGACCTATTTATGAAATTAGCTCCATTCCATCTGATTCTGAGGTTGAAAAGGAAAAAATGCTTTAGGCCCTGACGAGGGCCTTTGATGGTCCCAGTTAATTATTGTCACCATGACTCTTGGAGAGACTGCAGAGCAGAAAGGTCTGTTGAAGCAGAGTGAGCACGTGGGGGAGGCTTCTTTGTGTCCAGATCATTTTTCTGACCCCCCTTCCCACCCCCCAGAGAGGGAATATTCTCCTTCATGTTCCGTTGGAAGCCGATCTCCCCCAAAGAGAGCCTTCCCTGCAGTCACTAGAATTTAGCAAATTACATACTTTCAAAGTTGAGAATCTGTCTCCTTTCCATTAAATCATCCGAACTCAAGCTGTGGGAACCATATTTGCTTTCTAAAGTGTTTTCTGATTTTGACACTCAAAGAAATAATTTTCTTATTAAGTGGTTCCCTGCACTTTCAACATTGTTCTGACTTTGATCATATGATATAGTTGAGGTTGGAAATTATCTAAATTACTTTGGTGTTTTGGGAGTTTTCATGATCGTGAGTATGAAAAGAAATCATGGAATCACATAATTTCATGATGTGAACAACAACAAAAAAAATCCCATCGATTTACATAATCTTCTGAGCACCGGAAAGGGGAGGCGTGGGGGGGAAGAGACCCACGTTTGTCGAGCGGCTCCTGTGTGCCCCACACGGTGTGCGGAGTGAGGTCCTCTCCCACTGGCATCACCTACCTGTGTTCCCTCTCCTCTCTCTGACCCCCCCTGCCGTCCCCCATGCACCTGACCCACTCCCCACTTTCTGAACGAGCGCTTGTTCCTGCCGAGCAGAGGGAGGGAAGCAGGGAGAGAGGTGTTGCAGGCCCAGGTGGTGGAAACGCAGGGCCGGATTCCTCAGAGGCCCAGTGAGACGGGCGTGCTAATTGGATTTGGTGGCAGGTCCTCGGTGACCTTCCCAAAGCACTCGTGTGTCGTGGTTAGAGAGGAAACCGGATTTAGGTCAGTTGAGAATGGAATTGAAGAGGAGGAATTTAAAAGTATAGAGTCTTTTTTATGAGAAGCTGAGTTCTGCAAAGGAATCCGTAGCAAGAAAGTCAAGGAGCTTTGAAGCAGAACGATTTTGCCAAGATGTGAAGACTGACATCCGTGTGGGCCAATGGGGATAGAGCAGGTAGAGGCGCAGTTTATTTTATGGGTTGGTGACGACTGCACTGATACTGAGATTTGGGCTACATTTAAACCTTTTTTGTATGCCAAGATGTGATCTTCTTTATTTCTCATGACATCCCTATTGTAGAGAAGGAAAACCTCTACTCTTAGGTTTAGTGACTGGGGCCTGCGAATTAAACCGACCACAAAACAGATTAGTAGGAGAAAAGGTTTATGTCGCATGCACAGAAGATAAGTGAAAACCCAAAGAGGCCATTATGCTTGAGGTGTTTACGTACCATTTTAACAAACAGCAATGCAGTATGGAGAGGTGAGAGATGAAGGAAAAGGGTTTGGGCTTTTAGGATGGTAAATTGTGGGAAGGTAAGAATAAGGGAGACTAATGGAACTTAAGGGCTCTTTTAGCAAAGTTGGTTTGTGCAGACTCATCTCCTCCAGTGACAAGGGTTGCTGTCTTCTTCCTCCGGCTACGGAAGTGAGGAGGAAACAGCTTTACGAAGGGACACATGTGTGTGCAGTTTCTCAGTTGCCTTCAGCTCAAAATAATCCTATGCCAAAGTGGCATATTTTGAGGTGGAATGTTCTGATCCCCTTATGAACGAGAGAAATGGCAGTGCCCCCATCATACAGAAGAGGAAAGCCAGTCAGGCACCTCAAGGACTCATCCTTCTACAGGATGGCACTGGGGTTCGATCCCAGATCTGTTCCCCTACAAAGGTACCTGCCTATCTGCTGGAGGACACCATGGAGACTTCTGTGTAAGGTGTGTTCTCCACAACCATGTCATGAACTCCAAGAAATCGAGGGAGGGATCCCTGGAGCGTGATTTTCCTCCTGGAGTTACGCAAACACCTTTATGCCAGTTTATTGGGAGTAGTGTTTATTAACTTCACACCCAGCATCCTGCCAGTGAGTTGGGGGTGGGGTCTCGACAACCCCTCGTGATCAAGGGCATAATACAGCAACCTGAGCTTCCATATTTTGCAAGGAGCAGTAATTCTGACTCTGGATGGTGCTACCAGCTGCCAACTGAATTGTCTTCCTAGAGGTAGCTGTAATACACCAAGATGTCACGAACCGAAGAATTATTCAGCTCACAGCCCCAAAGTTTGATAGAGGGCCTGCTGAATTTGGCAACGCATGATGTGGCATCGGAAATGCCATGGGAAAATTATTCAATATTGGACGCTTTTGACAACTTAATGGCTGCCTGTTCCTAGGCTGAATGGAACTCTGGAAGGCATTTTTTTTTCACCGTCTCCAAATGCTCTGCAGCAAATAACATGTAGCTCTGGGCCCTTCCTTGCGAAACACAATGGAAAGAATCGGTTTAAATTTTATTGTCTGTTGATAAATACTTGGCGCATTATTTCAGCCAGCTCTAATTGGATTTATTTTTACACTCGGTTTCTGCAAATTGTACTGACAGTAAACAATAAAATCAGATGATTATTCTAATACAGAAAACATAAACACAGCGAAACTGCTTTACGGCCTTGTTTTGGCCTTTTAGTGCCTCGGCGGATTGGCCGGCCCGTGTGCTCTTGCTGGGGGTTTATAGGAACCTTGCAACATAGCGGAGCGCTACCCCGGCTCAGAGAAGACACTTGCCATGCTCATTGCACAGTCTAAAATATTTTTAAGATCGATTCTTCAGTTATAATATGAGGGAGCTTTGTCGTTTTTCAGAATTAACTCAGGGCAAAGGCATGCCAGTTGTGTTCTGGAACACTTTAGATCCACGGACGCTGTGACCTAAAAACCCGGGCCACATACGTTGATCTCCATCCTCCCATTGATACTGTGCGGTGTCCTCCCCAAAAGCGGCGGGGACTTTGGCAGTCAGGGCATTTCTCACCCCCTCAGTGGTGTGTGTTCTGCCCTGAAACCTGAAACATGAGCTCAGTGCCTGGCTGGCTTCCCTGGTGGACGGGGAGACACTGCAGGCGTGCTGGGTGCTGTGTCCCGTTCCTGCCCCTGCTCCTGGGGGCTGACACACGGCAGATCCTCAGCAAGGGGCCTTTCGTGGAACTCCACAGAGTGGGTGTCGGCATTCCTTTGGAGGCTGTGGTGTACCTTCATGTTCTTTACACGGTCGGTCCAAATGGCAGCATCTCTGGAACATGCCGGAACTCATAAACGTTCGTGGTTAATGATGATTTGCTTACGGAAGGGGAAGTGCCCCGAGGAGTCTGAATTCCACGATCTTTCCATTCATGGGGCACATCGAGGTTAACAGGAACATGGGACCTTCTCAGAGCCTGCAGCTGAGGCTCACAGAGCAAAATGTCCCATCTTTCTGGGAGTGTCACAGAAGGCAGTGACCACAGGTGTTCTTCCTCAGACTTGGGAATTGGGAATAAAGGGGAGGTTTGAGGAAATAGGATATCGGATGGTATTGGTTACTCCACGAAGTCCTTGGAAGCACTCACATCTCAGGGCATTGTCCTCATACGAAACATCCATGTATTGAGCGAGCATCAGGTGAGTTCCAAATACTTGGTTAGTCTCCTGACAGATATCTGAAGTCTGTTCAGAATTGTGGCCACAAATCTGTTGCCTCTGTCTCACTGATTCCTTTTGAAATTTATTTTCAGAAATAAAATGAAATTCTCAGTAGCCGATCCTACCACAGAGTAATCCTGTTGGAGATAATCACTGGCTCTTTGGAGGAAATAGATCCGTTTTTTTTAATCAGACATGCTAGGGAGAGTCCACCATCCCCTCTGGCCAGAGGTTCACATGCCCTGCCAGAGGGATTGGAATTTACCACCCTTTTTATCCCGTGGATGGTAAGCCGAATCGGTGTCTGGCTGCAAAAATGTTCTACCCAACTTAATGGATTCGTACCGCAAATACTTCTTGTCAGCTGATTGGTTTTTGTAGCATTCTTGTCTTAGCAGGAATGGATGCAGTTGAAGTTCATTGCTGTTTTTTTTTTTTTCCCCCAACAGGTTCTTAGCATGATAATCAATGCAGCTTACAAGCCTGGAAGGGTATTGAGAGAATTACAGCTGGTGGAAGATCCACACTGGAATTTTCAGGAGGAGACGCTGAAGGCAAAGTAGGTGTTCTCAGTTCTGGGAAACAAGGGTCTCGTAGTGGTTAGCCCGCTACTTTAGTTCTGTGCGCTACGTACAGATTGGTTGGTGTTTCTGTTACACGGAGTTGCCTTAAGCCTTGGGATTCCGGAACTAAAGGAGAGATTTGTTTAGCTGATACTTACTGTGTTAAACATTCAGAATCAGAACATCCTGGGATTCAGGGCCAATAGATTATTTGATCAGAAGGGGAACAATTATAAAAGAGAGGGTGTCTGTTATCATCATTTTATGTTATTCATTAACAGCTCTTAATATTTGATACCATAAGGAGCTTATGCCAGACAGATAGACGTTCTTTGCTCTGAGAGTTGACAGTTGTAAAAGATAAAAAGAACCCATACTTCTGCTTGGCTTTGGTTGACGGGCTATGGGTTGACATGTAGTTGGTCACTTCTTTTATTTGTAGTTAGGCTAACTGGAGAGATGACGTTTTGGCTTTGCTTTAAGGTTCTCGAGCTCTGAAATTGAGAGCACCCTCTGGATCGATAAGCTTGAACGTGGTAGTTTAAGAAGGCAGATAGAAGAAGATCCATTTCTCAAGATAATTTTCTTTAATAATTGCTTTGACTTTCGGTCCTTGGTGTTCATTTAGCTTTTCAACAGAACAGATCTTAACTGGTCAGCTTCTTGTAGAACAGTGTCCTCAAACAGCCTTTAGATGTGACATTTGGGAAATGATAACTTTTTTTTGAACAGTGAACCACGTTCAGTGGCTATAGAGTGTGGCTGAGGCCTCCTTTAGAGAAAGTACCTATCTGGTTTGTAGTGAAAGTGGAGGGATGTGAAATGGTTTGTTTGACCAGTAGTATTCTCCCGTGTGGTTAACTTGCTACACTGGTGTGGAGTAAGGGTGGTGAGATACTGCTCGGCTGCTCTCCACTCATTGTCTCTTCTCCACTCAACATTTCCTAGTTTCTTTTTTGAACACATCTGCAATTTTAGACTCTGTATGCGTCATTTGTCATCTCATGATGCTCTGCCAAATCACAGAAGTCAAAGGGAATACAGGTTAACCGGGAGAACGTTTATTTGTATGAAGTGGCCTGTCACTGAAAGGTGGTACCATGTCTCATCCTTCCCGCGAAGTACTTAAATGAACCTCCCCTATAAATGATCTGAAAGGATATGATCAACGGGAAAACTTAGTGATCTCTTTCAGTCATACTGAATCTTTTCTTTCTGTAATTACTGTGGTTTGTTAGTGTTTTGCTTTGTTTTTTTGTAATAGAAATGAACGTAAGTCACTGAATTTATTTCAAAAAAAAATAAAAATAAAAATAAAACAATAAGTAAATGAGCCTCACCTGTGTAGTGCAGAAGAAACCAAAGCAAGGCTTTTTCCAGCCGAATGTTCCATATCTTTCTACTTCATCTGAGGGGGGGATCAGCAGCAGCACGACATTTTCTCAGGTTAATGCATAGGAGGAACAGTGGTGGCCGAAAACCTGAGCAAGTGTATGTACAGAGAAACATTTGTTTTAAACAGTTTCTGTAAAATTCAGTACCTCCCAAACACACCTCACGGGTAAGGAAATAGGACAACTACAAAAATCTCAAACCCCATTAAAATCTCCCCTGTTCATAAACAAGCCAGAAAGTTGCCCCAGGTACCAAAATGACAGGGAGAGTTAATTTGGGGGTGTTAGCACTCATTTTCATGGTGCCAAGTCGATCAGAGCTTTTACGAAATTCAGCCTGACACAATCAAAACCGACACGGGGCAATCAGCCCTGGCTGATCGTAAAGGCAACGTATTACCTATTAGATCAGATATGACCGTGAGTTCCTTAGCAGGATCTTACGAAGCAGCTTATAATGAGAACGTCTCTGTCTGCGAGTGTGCTGGATTACAGTTGCTAATGATGACAGATTTACAGGTGGGAGGGGGCGTTCCCGTTAGGATACTATGTGTTGAGTCTTCGCTTCTGATGTAAAACGACAACTTGTTAGATCTTGACAACTTGCGCAAATGAGAGGAGAGAGCCCCCCAGCTTCTTCCCATTTTGTTGAAAGGCTGAGATGCTTTCTGTCGTGAATAAATTAACTTCCTGAGGGGGGGACCTGCATTTAAGGCATTCTGTTGTTTGGGTTGTGGTCCTTGAATGATAGTATCACAAGGAGTGCTTTCGGGAGGAGAGGACGTGAGATCCACGTGAGATCATGAGGTCATCCACCCCTGGGGCTTGGGAGGGCTGTCACTGAGCTGAGCATCCGGGGTTTCTGACTGGTTCTTCCTCTTCTGAAGAGAAAAGACCCATTTCCTTGAGAGGATGGAGATGCCATTAAAAAGGTTTGACCTGTGCGTAGGAGAAAAACTTAACATCGTCACCTTTTGACCCTTGGTGATTTTTTTTTTCCTATTTATCTAACAATCATACTTTTTATACTAAAAGAAATTATTGCAGTATTGAACACCATATAAGGACTCTGTATCTTGAGTCTTCAACATGTATTGAAAGGCAAAACTGGGGTAGCTATGATGTCGAAGGGAAAGTAGATTCTCATGTAGTTCATTTTAGCAGTCCTGGGAGAGAAGATTCTTTCCGATGAACTTAAGTATACTAAAATTGACTTACATTATTTTGAATTTCAGGAGGAGGAATTTAGGCTCTACCTCTGGGGGATAAAAAAAAATTCCAACTCTGTGCATCTAGAGACACTTACATGTTTTCCAACATGTTCTAGAATCTTCTTGGGGGAGAAAGACTCTGCTTTGAGTGGCTTTTGTGGTCATCTTTATAAAATCCAGGTGAAGGCTTAATAAATTTTCCCAGTCCTTTGTTATAGTTATTCAGAATATTTAAAAAGGAAATGTCCTCTTTAATTTGGAGGGAATGAGACTTCCTTATCACTTAGACGAACGCAAGGAAAATCACAACTTAGAGGTGAGTCATGCTTGGCTCTACGGAAATGATATTTTGGTTTCTTTTTCGTAAGCAATTACTGATTTTTTATGTGTTTCTCTTTCACTTTTTTTGGTCTTTTACTCATGCTCCTATTTTGTGAGTAGCCAGATGTAATATTTGGCTGCAGAGTGATTTGTGTGGAAAAGGATTCATAAACAGAGACTTTACACTGGAAAAAAAAATATTAGTTGGTTCATTTGTCAATTTTTACCTTGCTCAGATTTGTGCACTCGCTCTCCTGAAAACGTACGCCGTAAACATTACAGGAAGCAGGCGGCTGGACCAGTTTGGGGAGCACAAGCCTGAATTTCTGCACGCACTTAAGTTCATCAGGTTACGGGCGTGGTGTTTCTGCTGCAAACACAGACCAGTTTAGGATGTTCTGAATTGGATGGGGTCTTTCCGAAAACACACACACACACACACACACACACACACATGCACACCCTTTATTACACAGAGTTCTCATTCCTTGAAGTGCAGGAATCCAGAAAGAAGAGAGTTTCTGAGGGGTTGAGTATCCTAGGACTGGAAGCCAGTGAACCAAAGTGTTGCCCGTAGTTCTGATGATCAGGAAGATGTGACGATGAAGGAAAGACTCTCTTCTGAAGGAAATCAGGACCATATCCCATGGTTGCTAAGGAGAAGAGTGATGGTCTCACAGCCTGTGAAGCTTCTCTGTCTCTGCAGAGTTAAATTCTTCCTTCAGTATTCGAGGATGCAGGTTCAGCCTGATGGAAGAGAACCTTGTTTTACACTCCCATGCCCCTGTCTCTGCCTCAGCAAGTTTTGTGAAAAGGTCCTGCTATGGGTCGTTTTGCAAATGAATGATAGAACTTGGGCCAAGTTGGAGTCCTCCCCCCTTAGACCGTCCTGATATTTAAGAGTAGATTGTTACCCGAGTGTTGGGTTTTTCACTCTGTATTTCCTTTTGATTCAAAATCCATTTTGGTTTTTCTCAGCTCTTACCGACTGAAAGAGACCCATTTTTCCAGCACTCTCACTTTCTCTGTCTACCTCGGTCTCCCTCCACCCTGCCCCGTGCACTCAACATGTGGAAATTAACCCCTGCTTTGGTTGGTGGGGAAATACTGGAAGGCCACTCACACTTCCTTATTGATGGCAAGGAGGAAAAAACCTTTTCTCTACCCTGTTAGGTTCTGTTCCTGGGAGCCTGCAAATTAAACTGACAGATGACAGATGAGCACGAGAAAAGACTGTTCTACTTACATAAGGTGCATGCACACACACGAAGGAGTGCTTCGTGATGAGTAACTTGAAGGGACAGTTAGGATTTGGAGCTTTATGTGTATGTTATAGCTAATTTAATAGGGGAAAGAGTACGGAGCAACAGGCTGTAGGGGAAGAACAAATAGGCTTCTTTATGAAAGACAAATGAGTTTTTAGGAGAACAAAAAGGAGATAAGAAAGTTTGTGAAGATGTTGGTTTATGCAAGCACAAGCAGTCTTTCTGTCTTTTTCATAGGCTGTGAAATTCCTTAGAGAGGGGATTTATGGTAGGTTTACTCTGGTCTCTCCCCTGGGATTAGAAGCCACTCCAAAGAGGGAATTTATGCTAGTCCTCATTTCTCAGAAGTTTCTGCTTTTAGTCAGATAATGGAAGCTCTGAGAAAGCTGCTTCCTGCATCTGTTGGCTCTCAAACACCTGCATCTTAAAATAATCTGTGTGTCGACTCTGGGGTTCTGAGTGGGTCCCCACAGTGACAGCCAGGATCCCTCCTGCGCCCCTCTGCTCTCTGACGTCCTGTGCTGTTTGACGGTGGGAGTCTGAGGCCAGTGTCGCCCCAGCCTGTCCTCGGGCGCCCCGAGAGCAGAGACAAGATCATGTTCCACACGTCTCTGGAGCCTCAGTCAGGCCGAGCTGCAAAGGGAACGGGGGAGGAAGTCTTCAAAATAACAGAGGCAGAGCTCAGGTCCTCTTCCCACAGATCTCCCGGCTGGTTCCCTCCTTCCACCTTCGTCATCTTTGCTTGTTGTTGCCCTGCCTCGGTTCTGACCCAGTGCTCTTTCACTTCTCCCTCCCTCCCTACATC